ATTTTAAAATAGACGGAACAAGCGAAATTTGATTTGGACGCCAATTGGCGCCTACAGTACCGGGAAGCCAATATGTTTCGGACGCCAATAGGCGCCAACAGTATTCAAAGGGTTAAGGAGATAGATTGTTGATAGCCAACGCCGATTGGGAGCTCGCGCCAACCGAGCGCTCTGATTGGTCGAGGTTTTTTTGTTAATAACTCCTCAACCACGCATCGGACAATATTTTTGCTAAGGAAAATGTTGTTTAAAATTATGTCAGCTACCTCCCATTTCAATATCTGACACTAGTTTTGGGACACCCTGTATATATCGTATTAGGTCGAGACTTGACTGGTCTGTGTTCGTCTTTGTTTCACTTACTTCGGCGCTATATCAGAGCCTTGCTGCATGAGTGAGCCTATGGTGAACCAGAGCGAGTTCATCAGGGTGAACTCGTTCTCGAGGACCTCGGACTGTCCGTTGCACGGATGGGGATTCTCCCACTCGTAGGGGCTGAACCTGCGGACACGTGAAAGGAGAAGGGAGAGGATTAGACCTGAGACTCGCGATTTACGCAGGCGGGACGCGCGACGATCGATGCTGACTAAAACGGTACTATTTTTTTTTTTTACCGAAGGAATACAGTTTATCTGTAGCCAATGACATTCTGGAAAACGCGTGTTTGTGACTGCGAAAGCAGTCGGTCCTCACGCATACTGTCTTTCCTTAGCCGTTTAAACGCGCCGTGACGCGTAAGTACGAGGAAACCGTAGACGCCGCGGGCGATCTCCGCCGAACGAGAACCGGAACTCCACGTGTCACGAAATAACCGATTCCTACGGGACGGTTTCGCGAATTCGTCCCGTTGAATAATTCATTAATTCTTGAAGCGTCGCCGCGAGGCGGACACCCGTCAGGGTCTGTCATATCGTCAGGGTCTGTGGCACGTCCGTGGGATGTGAACAAGTAAATCGTTACGAGAGTGGATTCGTTGATTATGTGATCTTTGCTGATAAATTTACATACATGCGTCGGCCGAACGGAAGCGACCGGCGATGGCGGCGGCGGCGGCGACGGCGGGACGACTGTGTGTCTCGGGTTCGGATGCACAGCGAAACCGACCCCAACAGCTATGTATGTATGTATGTACGTACACGACATAGTGTAACTTAGACAGCGAGCGTATAAGTAGAAGTAGAAGAAGAAGAAAATAAAATAGAACAAACGACGGGCCGAAAACGATGGGAACAGAAAAACGGAAAGACAAGATACACAGTGAAGGAACGATCAAGCGACCGTGTGATGCCAATCTAACGGCTTACT